TTAGAAAACCTCTTTGAAATGAATGCCTGGCGCAGAGTCTAGACAATACTCGTTAAGTGACTTCTCATTTAGCTGAATATTTGAATTTGTTTCGACATCAAGACGGATCACCCAAAAACCAAATTCTACGGACTATTCCGAAATACTTGACATATTGCTCTCAAGATCGGAAACCGATTTTGAAGAACCGATAAGTGGTCTTTAAAAGAACCAGAAAGGCTATATTGACAGTTTGGTGTGGTTTTTGGCCTGGTGGAATCATCGGTCTGTACTTCTATCGAAATGAAGCTGGTGACACCGTTACTGTCAATGGAGAGCACCCCTGCGGGCAGGGGATAGAATATGCCCGCGGCAAGGCATGCCTGTCGTAAAAGGCGACTAAAAGCCAATATGCACTATGACTGTTATTATATTCTTTGCACAGTAATATCAGCATAGTATATGGAGTGATAGTGCTATAATACTCAGCTTGAACTGATATTAGAAACACTTTAAATGAAAAAGCGAATAAAAAGACATTTGAAGTTCAAGCGACAAATGTCACCAGTCATTTGAGTAATGGGGAGCTCAACTGGCAGTAGTTTAGGCTACGCAGTCTGACCGGAGACTTTCCGGTACCACGGGGAGCAGAAAGCCCTTGGACTTCTGTTCAATCTGCTCATTGGGTTCGGCCTTTTGGGGAGTATCGTGGTGGCTGTGGTTTAAACCTAAATGCTGGAAGAACTGAATTTTCAGTTCGAAAAAAGAGTAACTGGGTGCCGTACCCGAAAACGGAAGAGGTTTTAGGTCGGCCTCGAATCACACCAAGATGGTAGTGTGGACCCAGACACACTGCCACTGGTATCCAAATAAATACTTGCAAAAAGCTCGTATTGTTTGGGGCGCTGATCAACGCATCGTATTGATACGTTGTGTTTTTGAACACCGTGAGGTAAGGCCGTCGCCGGCAGGTACTCACGTAAATCTACAACGAAAGTTGTCAATGGAGAGCGGTATAGATCGATGATAACCAACTTTTTATAACCGCAATTGAAAGAAGTTTATATTGACAACATTTGGTTGCAACAAGACGGGGCTACGCGTCACACAGTACATGCATTAACCGATTTATTGCGAGAAATGTTTGGAGGTTCGATAATTTCAAGAAATTGTGACATTGAATGACCTCCAAAAAGTTTTGATTTAACAGCATTACACTACTTCTTGTGAGATTATTTAAAGTCATTGGTCTTTCGCAATAAACCAGACTGTTTTAAAATCTTAGAAGTCAATATTGAACGTGTTATTCATGACATAGGACTTGATTTAGTGGAAAAAGTACTCGAAAATTGATTTCATCGAATTCGTTCCTGCAAAAGAAGTCGTAAAGGCCATTTGATTGATGTTATATGCAGGTCTTAATTGTATCGATTGTACTTCACATTAAAAAAAAAAACATTTTAATTTCTTTAACAATTAGAGTTTTTGTTTTCTTTTTTTTTTTTGAAAAAAAAGCAAAACGTTCAACAAATCAAATGATTATTTCTTCATAACAGAAGTGTATTCAAAAAATTTTATATTTAACATTTTTTCGGCTTTTTCTTTACACCGATAAAAGCAAGAAATAGTCAGAAATCCAAAGATCCGGCTTTTTAAATAGGGTGAAATCACCACCCCTACTCAGCAACCATTAACTTAAGCCAGTCGAGTTTCTACGTAAACGGGTTGGAATCAACTTTAATCAATCTTAAATCTTTTTTCAAGCTTCCTGCTTTTATTTTCATTTTTTTTTTTTGTCGCAACCAGCTTTTCAAAATGTTTTAAAAAAATTACCGTTAATATCTTCGCACATTGAAAACATTTACTATTGGAAAATTCGCTTATCACCACACAATCTAATCACCAACAAAACGTTCGCAAGTGAAAATACGAGTATGTACATAGTGATAGTGAAAGCTTAGAGGCATTTTCAGTAATAACCATAAACATAAATTTTCCGTCAATCACCGACAGTGGTAAGCAATAACACGCTTGTCATTCAGCGTCTCGTCACCAATTCGGTGAGCGCTCATTTACAAAGCTTTTGGAAATAATACTTATCGAAGCAGCTGAGAAGAACACACCACAACATTTTACATGATTTCTTTTGAGTTCGCTTTGTACTTAGGTGAGTCTGTTAGGCGGTTGTATGTGCCTGAGCACACATCAATTTGTATGTAAACAAACACTTTCATTTCACGCCCTAAAGTACACAGTGCAATGATAACAAAGTCGACTAAAGCTAATCGCATTTGCCATCATTTCCTCAACACTTCCTTCTTTCATTCAACAGCATATTGCGAAGAGACAATTTTAAATGCAATGTTAATACACAAATACATACAAACATATACACATACTTTAAAATATACATATGTACTTTTGTGAAATTTATATGCATACATATGTGTGTATATGTACATAAAATTGTGTTTAGTTTCGGCTTCATAAGACGAACCTTAAAATGTATTTGAATAGAACTCTTGTCGTGTGCATATACAAACTTACATACAGTGCGTTCAAAAAATAAAATTTTCGTTTTTCAAAGTGTAGTTAGCGTTTATGGGGAAAATAGTTGTAAATATAGAAAATAAATTGTTTTGTTATAGCTGGTGTTATTTAATATTTGTTCCAATCTCCCGGGTTGTCTATTATAGCCTAACACCATTGATGGCAACTTGAAACTAAATTTTCCACATATTCCACAGTAAGCCACTGCCAGGTATTTTGGGGTAGCTTTATGACATCTTTTGTTGACGTTAAATGTTTTCTTGATACTTGGGCTTTCATTAAAGCCTACACATCTCTTATTGGAGTGGCGTTTGGTGACTGTGATGGCCAATCTAAATTAACAATATGGTTTTCTTGTTACCATTGATTAAAGAGTCTGCTCCTATGTTTCGTATCATTGTCTTCTTGCTGTATACAATTATGGCTATTTTTTGGCGTAAAGCATTTCAGCTGACTTCAGTAAACCCTTTTTATACAATATTATTCTAATGGCGTCCAGGGTTTTTTTGCCCAAGCCCCCAAATCCATGAGCAAGAGAAGCATCCATAAACATGTTCCATTTGGTGGTGCTTAATACTCCTTTGAATAAATGTTTGTCCTTTTCTTAGCCAAACACGTCTCTCTGCGGTTGAACAATACAAAAGTTGACTCATCTGTAAATATTACATTGCTCCAATCACGGTTGATGTTTTCTTGTGCCGAATGCAACCTTTTTTGATTTGATAACATTACTTTGATGCCAGATCTTTGAGGTCTGTCCCGTAATCTATTTAAAGATATATCTAATCCTTTTTTAAACAACAATTTTTAGCTTTTCTTAGACTGAGCAGAGGTTTCTTCTCAAAAAGGAGAACAATTCACTTTAAGATGTCACGTGATTCCTGGTTTATTATCCACGTTTCCTGTTTCTCCATAATGGTCAGACCACCTCTTCACTACACTTTTTTTAATAGTCCATTTGGGACCTTTCATTTGAAAAAAATAAATAAAAACAGTTTTCCGCCAATTGATCGCGTTAGAACGTTATTTTTTGGAACGCACTGTATGCCTTAAGCGTAAAAAGTGAACGTTTTACATATGTGTGCATGTACAGGTTGGTTGAAAAGTTTCTACGCTCGAAATGAAAAAAATACTGTTTTTGGTACGAAATATATTTTTTTATTCAATATAATCCCCTTTAACTTCAATACACTTATTCCAATGATCCTCCAATAATTTTATGCCATCCCTATAATGACTCTGCAAAATACCCGTCTAAGGCTGTAATAGTTTCTTCATTCCACGAAAAACGCTTTCCACGAATGAATTGTTTCCGGTTTCTGAAGAGGTAGTAGTCACTGGGAGTCAACTCTGATGAATACGGTGGATGCTCAAGCAGTTCGTACTTTAATTCGTTGAATTTTGTCATTGTTAAAACACCTTTGTGAGCAGGTGCATTGTCTTGATGAAAAATAATTTTTTTGTGCTGCAAACCAGGTCTTTTCTCACGAATTTTTTAATCCAGCTCATCTAAAAGGCTGCAATAATATTAAGAGTTGATTGTTTTACCTTTCTGCAAAAAACCAATCAACGAAATTTCTTTTGCATCCCAAGAAACTGATGCAATACCTTTCTTTGCTGATCGTTGTGACTTCACCTGCTTTGGATCAGCACATCCAGCTTCAGTCCACTGTAAACGTTCTTGTTTCAATTTAGGAACATGGTGGTATATCCAAGTCTCATCGATAGTTATAAAACGACAAGAAATCGGTTTTATTCTGCTTAAAACGCTCCAAATTATTTATGCTGAGAAATTTGTTTTCGATAAAGTTTTTGTTGAATTGTTAACGTGTGCGGCACTAACTTTCCAAACAGCTTTTCATACTTATGTGATTCTCCATGTAAAATATGAAGTATTCGAGATGCCTACAGCATTAGGAATTTCACGCTTAGTCAAATTTAGATCTTGGGTGGCAACCTTTCATAAAAATATCTGACTGATATCTTTCTGAAACCTTTTTAGTTGGATGTTCCTATTTAAACTTATAACAGTTTTGTCAATTTAATTGAATACAATTTTGAAACACGCGACAACCCTTTTAATAAAACATCAAATGTGTACATACATACATATGAATGTCCATTTAGCAACATTTTTAATTCTATAAATTTTTCTAAAAACAGTTTTAAATGGGTTGCCACCTTTTCTTAAAAAAATATCTAGGACTGATATCTTTCTCAAACACGTACTGTTTGATGTCAATTCTATTTTTTGTCAATTCAACTAAATAAAACTTTATAACATACGGCAACCCTTTCAATAAAACATTATCAAATACATATATATATTGTCTTATAGTTATGCTGTTTAATGTCCATATTGCAACTTTTTTAATTCTATACATGTTTTCCAAAAACAATTTTTAAACAAGTGGCAACCTCTTTCTGTTAAACCAATCAAGTACTACACCCTTTTTACTCTGCTTTTTCGAATTAGAGTTGAGAGCATAAAAAATATAATCCAGCTTTAGTTATAAAAATAATTTGTTTTCTGTTTAATTTGCCATACCACTGTATGAAAATTACAAAAACACAAACAAGCTAGAAACACTTAGCCGGCAATTAAATGAATGTCATTCAGAAGATGGCTATGTTAACACAAAAGGTAAATGTTGTAAGAGAGTAAGAGAGAAAAACTTTTCCACACAACAAAATGGGAATTTCAGCGAGAGTAAAAGCTCAACTGCGCAGCTTTCACGTTTACCACTTTTCCGCGATGAAGCATTGCAGCCGATACGACTGTTGAAACAGTTGCTGCGCGATTACGGAACGAAACGGTTGTAAGCGGAAAACCCCAAAGCATAGCGTGTACTCGACAATATTGTGCTGCTGAATATTTTTTCTTCCTCTTGGACGAACTCACCACCCAACCGCAGAGTAGTGTGAGTGCGCGCGAGTGTTTGTGCCGCCAAGGGGTGGCAGTCCATATTGATGCCTAACAATTGTTGCCTTGTGTGTGTATATATGTGAAATAGTAAGCAGTGAAGGATGTATAGCAAATACAACAAAAACAGCAATAATACAAGTGTGTACCGAAGCAGCTGTGACAAGCGATGGCAATTTTCGAAGTTTGTTTCAACGCTGAATTTAAAAGCGTGTGTTAAATCAAAGTGAGCTTGGATCTGCGTCTGTGTGGGTCGTGTGGACATTTTGTTTTGTGTACCAGCATATGCATACATTCATACGTGCGTGTTTAATGAACATACTACGAGCAGCCGGTCGAAAATATGGGGTGAACTATACAATCCATTAGTGAGACGAACAAACACACATCCACCCAAAATCAAAGCGTGTGCAATAAAATAAAGTATGCGAAACTTTGTGGATTTTTCAGTTTTCAGCGCATAACGGTATGCAATGTGTGACACGAATAATGCGAGCGGATTAATAGACTGCAGACGAAAGGATTATTGCCAACAACGTCAACGCATAAAAAGTGTTGCATATTTTATGGCGTTGCAAAGCGAGTGAATAGCATTAGAAAGAGAAAGCGTTACGCTTAAAAATAGCAGATTACGTAAACCTGCTGCACCAAAACACACTAAAGTGTATTTAAGTGAAAAAAACAAGCAAATAAAATCTCTATTGAAAAAAAGGATTTATTTATTTTGATTTTCAACCAATGGATAATACCTATTTTATAGTCGCTTGTGAGTGCAAGTGATTTAAGCAGCGCAAATATTTGCCTGCCAACCAAATGGCTAACCGAAAAATATAAAATACAAACAAAAAACCAAAAAATCCGCTACACGCAGTGAAGTGCAGCAGGAGAGGCACAAATACGAGTGCTGTACGTGGAAGCATCCGTGTTGTAACCTTGACATGCCGCCTACAGCCAGTCAGCCAGTCCTTTAAATACACACACATGCACACATATGTGTAGTGTACCGTTAGTATATGTATATATATGTGTGAACGTGCAACCTGCGGCCTACATTCAAAAGATATTCAAGCAGACAAAAACGCCAAGAAAGGCAGACGCATAACGGCACATAACGGCAGACAAGCAGTCACTTCCTTAACATTACTGCCTGCTACACACCCTCACACGCGCACGACAACACGCTCAAGCGTTAAAAGTACCATTTAAGTGCGTGTGCATATTTTATGTGCGCACACACATATAAACCTTCTTATATAAATATATATATATGAGTATGTGTGCGAAAGCTCGTTGCTTACGTATGTAGGTACGCAGCTCGTCGGCTCCAGCAGTCTGTAATTACTTTAGTTTCATTTGTGTTTTCGTTTTTATCACAACTGTCGAGTGGCAGACAAAAAGGCAGCGGACAGCGGTCACGTGTGTGTGTGTCTATAGTGTATAATTTGCCATGTTATCGAGTTGAAGTGTAGACTGCAGACCAAAAAATCTTAAAAAAAAATTAAATTTGTTGAAAATAATAAAAACAAGAAAAACTATAAACTAAATTTAAACAAAACTTGCGCTTTGCGAACTCAAAAAGTCGGGTCTGTTACAAAGCTTCCGTTTGGTTTAGTTTTGTACCGTTAAGGCTTTTACTAGTTAACACTTCGTTTTGTTACCGCTGTGACGGCACTGTGATGTACTTATTCCCGTTACATAACGCCTGTTACTTCATCTCTTCACTTCATCTCCGTAAACTAAGTACTCTAAACCAGCAAAAACTACAACAACAACATCATATTCATCTCCACCAAAAACCAAACTACAAGCTGGGATTATATCTTCAAAACTCACTCATAGCCGATGCTTTTGAAACATGCACAAACAAAGCAATGTTGCCACGATTACCGCTGCGACAGACGATGGCGCTGTGAAGCCGCATGAGTCCACTTTAAACGGTGGCGATAATATCATAACCATCAGCACGAGCAGCATTACTGACGAGTGTCATACATCAGCGTTTAACGAGCACTCGTTAAAGCCGCCGCCATCATCACCGAAATCAACAACAGACAGTAACGAAACTGCCGATCGTCAGCATTCCTGCACATATCTGAAACCTACAACTTCTGCGATCACCGTCTCCAATACACCGACCACCAACGCCGCGGAGCCGTCAACACAAACGCGTGCTTCTCCACACTGTTGTGATCTGTCGCGTTGCATTTCGTATCAAGAGAATATTGCCGATGTGCATCATCGCCGCGGCCGTCGTTTGCATGGCTTACAATTGCCGCTACATCCGCTACAAGTATTCGGTTGGCTTGTGCTCATACTCTTTGGCATAGCCACATTCTGTGTATTGATACCGTCATTCTCGAGTGAAATTCAGGGACCACTATACGGTCTTGTCGGCGGTTTGTTTGTGGTGCACGTGGTGTCACATTTAACCGCGCTCCTTACCGATCCCGCCGATCGTGAGCTGCAACGCGTACATCGTAACGATCGCATAGTGCCGGAATTCGACCGCAACCGTCACGCGCATGTCATTGAAAACGGCCGCTGTCATTTATGTAATATACGCACTTCGTCGCAGCGCACGAAGCACTGTTCGGTTTGTAATAAGTGCGTCGGCAAGTTTGATCATCACTGCAAATGGTTGAATCACTGTATCGGTTCGCGTAATTATGCGGCATTTCTAATGTGTGTGGTCAGTGCAGTGGCCGCGACGGTGGTGATTGTCGCAGCCGTGGTGGCGCAAATTGTGCTCTACTACGTCCATCCCGAATGGCTGAGCTTCTGGCAGCCCACAAATGGAAATGTTGCCAATGTTGCAAGCACGGACCCTGCTGCGTTGCTCTATGCACGCAATGCTGGCACGCTTAATGACACAGCGGTCGAAGCTGGCAATGCCACGGCTAACATTGAATTCGCCGCAAATGTTACCGCCAATATTAGCGCTTATCTGTTGGATACCAATTTGTTGCCGGATAATGGGTCGCTGCCAGCAATTGCTGAGAACGTGAGTACACTGATTGCGGACACAATCAACGACACCTTGCTGTTGCACTTGAATCAAACATTCAGTGTCGCCGAGACAACGTCGGACACGACAGGCGACATTTCTAACAATAATGTTACAGTGGCCACCGTAGCCGGCATTGGTGTTAGCGATACAATATTTTTAGTGCTTATTGGGCTGTTAGGATTGCTGGCCGCCATCACCGCTGGATTGCTTATGCATCTCTGCTTTTTCCATATATACATCTCGTTTTTGGGACTTACGACCTATGAGTACATACGCAACCATCGGCAAGCGCAGGAGCTCAAAGCCAAAGAAGCCAACGCCAAGCAGCCAAAAGAAGATCATCAACATTACCCTTTAACTCCGTCCAAAAAGACTAACGACTGTGGCCAAATTTACTTTTGTTCAAGCGCGCGTCATCCGAACGCCGTCAATCCCGCTGATGTGCATTATTTTGATGCGCGTAAGCCACCGCCTAAACGCGATGATAGTCCGCATTCGCGTCTACACTGCTGCGTTAATTCCAGAGAATATCATCAGTCTGCTTCGAAGACATACTACATGTGTTCGCTGCTCGAGGAGAACGCAGCGCACTCGCCGCTTGCAATATCGCATATCAGCGGCGGCGACAGCACCAGAGCTGGTCGTTTGTACGATGCAAGCGAAACAGCAGACGCAACAGAGAGAGGGTACAAGACCTTCCATTGCTGTTCATCATTCGGCGCGATGGCGACGCAACGTCGTGTCAGCGCTGCAACGTCCAAAGCCACATTGGTTAGCGACTTGGAGGCGATAAGCGCGCGACGCTCATACATGCAGTACACCGAGCAATGTACATTGTGCACCTTTCGTATACGCAGTCCGATGGTGAGTAAACGCGTCGGCGATGTAAGCGCACGTTCTGCTAGTGCCAAGCAACGCAGCACCCATGGTCCGCGGGAGTTAAGTCCAACGCCGCGTACCGTTTCGGCAAGTTCTAAAGTGGTTAGTAGCGAGCATCAACGCTGCTGTATGAAGTCGATATCGAAGAATCAGCGTTGGCGACGAAAATGGAATTGCTGTTCGAATGTGCCCGACAGTCCCGATGTGCCGAATGATATTATCGCCGCATTGGCGATGCGTCACCAACACAGTACTGCCACCAGCAGCGGCAAAAAAGTGAATGCCACAGAGATACCAGTACATTTCATTAAAACAGTCAATGGTAGCGGTAGCGGTAGCGGTGACAGCAGCACTGCTAGTCTAAGTGGTAGCCGCCCTAACTCTCCACGCAGTGCCAATCTCAAATCAAGTTCACGCGTACGCCACACGCGCACCTGGCCAATGCCACGCCTGCGACACATGATGCGTATGCTCGGTCGTTATCGTCGCACGCGCTGTCGGCAAACGGACGCCAACAACGCAATTAGTAACGTTGACGAGCATCAAGTGAAACAAAATCAAATCCGCCCATTACATTTGCAGTCTAGCGGCAATGGCGCTTACAGCCGCCAACATCTTAATCACCATCAACCACAGCAACATTACAACGACAGCAGCTCACCACAGCCGCCCTCATCCACAACGACAGCATCGGAGCGTAGCGATCAGAGCATCTACAGTGATTCAAGTAATCTCACAACCCCCTCAGGTCAGACGCCCAATGCCATTGAAACTATTTTGCCCACATCAGTGATACGTGATGACACGTCCATGACATATACGACACCCATGGGAATCACATTGCCACCGGCCTTGCCACCACCGACACGTCGCAAAATACCAAATCCTACAAATTTGGAAGAGCTCGCAGAGACACTTAGTTTTGTCTCGCATTCGTCGGGCGGCAGTTCGGGCACTTTATCGCCGGTGCAGAGACTCCCCACGCTGAGCAACGTTTATCGCCGTCAGCGACGCAAACATTTCTTACGTACACGTTCACCAACTTTATCGCCAATACACGAGACCGGTCTGTCGAATCCAACATCACCGCAACCGGGTCGTCATAATGCAAGCGCCACCGGTTCAAATGCCGCTGTTGCGTCAGGTCTTTCATGCGATTCAGTTGAGTTGGCGCGAAAGAGTTCATCGAATAGTTCACTACATAGCGTTAGTTCCAACTCTAGCAGTACTTAAGTTGTCAAATTTACCATATTCGCATTTTTTTTTAAATTGTTCAACTGTTGTGTACTATTGAAGAGTTATGTAAGGTATATAAAGGTGTGTGTGTTGCGCTACTAACTGAACCACGTATCAACTCCAGGTGTTTTTAAAAATAGGTTTATCAGTAGCATACCCGATCAATTTTAATAATATCTTATTTTCTCTTGAATTGAGATATGCATCGCTTAAAAACTACTAATGGGCCAACCCAAAATCTCCCGTGAATCCTGCATTGACTCGTATTATTCGCTTGTCGAGTTAAGTGGAAATACTTTCCATTGTCATTAGTTTTAATTACAACATCATCGAAATTTGATATTCATGTTTGGTAGCAAGATTTTTTAAATCAGCAAAACTCTTATATCACATGTATATCTATTGAGCTAGATTTGAGTTGAAAGTCCTCCCGCTAGCACATAAAAACTCAGCGAACAAAGCTTAGTACTAGATAACCACTTGGAGTTCGAAACAATCTCTGTTCATAGAATAAATAGTTTCCAATATTTTCGCTTTTCGAAAATCCGTAGAAATTAACATTTTACCAAAACTATACATTTTGGATACATAATTTAATTGCACTTTCTCAAGTATGAAGCTTTATTATAATGATATCTTTGGATTTTCTACAATGGGTTTAATGAGGCTGTGTGTTTAGGAAGTAGTTTTCGTCCTCAACTAAATATTTACACATAACTTTTAATATAAACTGGTAACAGTCCGGTGCACTTCTAAGCGAGCGGCAAAAGAGCACTCGCTAAAATAAGGTATGCGTCAATGCCGGCAACAACTCCTTTTGTTATCTGTCTGTAATAACGTTGGTCTAAAAATAAGCATCATACTATAGAGCACATGTTAGACTTCTGAAATGTCAGCGGTGTTCCTTAAGGGGTTAGGTGCAGTCTCAAACATGAAAAAATTACAATAAAAATTTTTTACAGTAAATTATTATATTTTATAAAAGTAATTAAATAAAATTTCGAATTGACTTGACAGAAATTAAAAATAATAATAAAAATTTTAAAAGTATTGGTTGTTTGTATTGGTTCAGTTCTAACCAAAGCTGCTTCCGGTGGCCATTACTAACAAATCCTTGGAAATTCATCTAAAATCAATCGGACAAAAAAATGTGCTTCATTAATTTCATAGATCATCTAGTGCGTGATCTAAGCTTTTTTTTTAAATTATTGTAACAAAATGGCGGCCTCAGGAAAACTTTTTCCAGATGTTCAGGAAAAACCCCAACAGTTAATTGTTTAAAGAAATCGAAGTGAAAAGACCTTCGATCAGGCACTAGTTTTTCATGTTTTCAAAAAGCTGTATAAATTTCATTGAAATCTGCCGAGCGGTTTTCGAGTTGCCGTGGTCACCAGTTCAAAAAACATGGTTTTGAGAAAATACACGAACGTTCCAGAGCGCCCGCGAACCCTTTGCTAATTATCGAATAACTCGAAATATATTTGTCGGATTTATTTGAAATTTCTAAGATATTATACTACTGATTTGAAAATTCTGACTAGCCCTAATCCCTTAAAACATTTAAAGTGGTTTCATCTGAGAAAGAGGGTACTACAACACAGATAAAGTTTCTGGGTATTCTTTAATATTCATTTTAATTCTATTGGGCAGACTCGCGTTCAGGTCTTTATTTGTTAAACAAATAGTCTGACATGCCTTTCTCTCTGGATATTTTAGAATATGTGGGGAAATTTTTCGTACTAAAAATATACGCTGGACAAGAGTGTATTGTACGTAACGGTAAAAGCTCTTATATTTACCGTTTATACTTAAATATAACAAATATAAGAATACACTTTCGCTGTGTGTTTCGCCTAGCAATTTCTCCTCGAACTCATACACACACACTCACATATGTGTATGCATTCGCAGATATTCGTGTTTACGAAATTGCATGTTAGCAAATATCCAATTCTACACATACATAAATAAACAATTTGCATATTGTTCCATTAAGTCCGAGGTTCATGGTCAGTTCGCCTTTTATTTCTGCGGATTTCCACGGTAATATTTCACCTGTCACTTTGTTGTATTTCAATTAAAACCTGTTAGGTTTGTTTTGCTCATTTACATACGAGTATGTACAAGCGATATGCCCATTAATGCCTACATATATGCACAATAAATCTCTTATATTATATATATCCTTGTGGAGCTGCTTAGACCTGCAGTGAAAATTTACACTTAACACTTAAGCAATAAATGTGGCTAAGCTAATTTATATATATTTGTACTTTTAATTCGAGCGACCTGTTCTAGAACTGTAATGACTTCTTTAGAGTTATATCGTACGTCTGCTATATTTTTTGTCGAACTGTGATATACCGAAACAAATCGACAAATGGTTAGTTCTACAAGTTTTAACCCGCCTCTGAATATCTCATACACTTTTAAGCCCTCTTGACCCGAGGCTTGGAAATATACATTTTTTTGTTTCCTGTAATCTTCCAAAGTTCTCTGCATTCTTAAGCATTTATAGGCAGAACTATTTGTATTTACAGGAGTCTCATCCACATTAGACTTTAAATCGACAAAACCATAAATTTGAGAAAAAAACAGCAAAGAAATCATACTCTCCAATTTAATGACACGGTTGCATGTCGAATAGCTTCGCCTTAACTGAGCTTACAGCTCTCAGAAACTAAATGATCTATGATAATCTAAATGATCTATCAACGGTCTTACTTTTATGATACATATAAACCCTTAAGTGTCTTCCGATCTCTTATCTTATAATTTTTCTTTTTCTGCTCGATCCGAAATGTGAAAACGGTCTAACTTTTATGGTACATATACACTCTAAAGTGTCTTCTGATCTCTTATCTTGTAAATTTCTCTTTTTCTACTGAATCCTTTCGAAAGATCTTTCACGAAGTCTTCATTTGTTTCCAAAGAGGCGGCAATGTTGGATAAATATCCTTAAATACTAATTAAGAAATCATGAATTAAGTTCCTCGGACGACACGCCGGAAAGGTTATGTTTATACAAAAATATTATAACAGAGAGAGAAGAAAGACGAAAGGCAATGTAACGGCCGTTAGTTTAGCAAACAGGACTATATCGAACTTGAAATAAGGCTCAGAGAGTTAGATTGCTTATTTGCTTTTCGGGCATAAAGAAGTTCTTTAGAGAGATGCGTCATTTATTGAACATTATTAAAAGCATTCAACAATTTTGCTAGAGTTAACTGAATTAGAGGCTGTAGAATCTGCGAAAACTGGAGAAACATATATTTCAAAATATGACACCAATTCCACAAGTACGAACAGGTAGATACCATACAATTATATATTCAATGCCTTATTTATAATTGCGATCAAATAGAGAATTGTAGACATATACTAAACACGTCACATCCGCCATTTTCATGTTTCTACTTTCATCCATTTTCCTCGTTTCATAATTATAATAACTCAATTTTTTTAAATTTTTTTTCCTTTCTTTGTTTGTTCCTCTACTCAACCCACTTTACGTTTTTGTATTCATAACAAAATTACTTTAACCATATCTCCCGCCCCTAATTAAAATTTTCCTTGTTGCTACGCCACTGTTGTTTACTCTACTACAACAAAGCGGCGCGGAGTCAGCAAAGAGAATTCAGTATGAGTCCAGCTAAATGAAATATGCACTTACCGGAATGTAATTGTACAGAGGTATACGTGTATTTAAGGTTGCCGAAGCACGGCAAACATTGAGTGCAGACAAGATGAGTCTGGGTACCGAGAACGCGGTCATTCGCGAAGTGTCGCTGCACCTCCACTTCGCACAAACGATGACTGTTTTTTGCTTATCATTGGCAATAGTCAGGCAATAAAACAATTGCCATTAAGCCGGAAGCATTTTTCCTGCTCGGCACGTCATCTATTCATTCTCTCTCGTTGATCCCTTTTGGACGGTTAGACGCAGAGGAGAAGTCGTCTAACAAAGAAGAAAATAAAATTTCAATATATCCGCAATTATAGATAAGTAAGCGTAACAGGCAAGGTGTAGAGTTTGTTGTAGGAGCTGTCTGACACTTCGGGTCAGAGGAGCGAACGAGTGTAAGCGCATTGAGCTTTGAAGTTGAAATCTTTTGCTTGTACGTTGTAAATATGATGGATTAGCCGGCAACTCCTACTTACTTTAGTTGCTTCTGTTATAGTGATAGAAGTAATCTTAAATAATTAATCAAAGAAAATCGATTGCACTTAAACTTTCTTCCAAAGATTTTTTTTTCAAAGGAATTTTTTCAAAATATCATTTATTTTATTTTATATGTATGTACATTTTCGATTCAACATTCTGTTATAATATTGTATTATTTAAAACATACAGACACATTTAAAGTCTCGCTCCTTGATAATGGACCAGATGCTGGCTTTAGCCTAGCGTTGGGGGACCTTAACGGTAGTCCAGCTTGTAAAAGCAGTATACAAGAAGAGAATCAAAGACAATCCTCTCCTAGTCCGATAATAAAGACCTAAAGGCCTTCTTTGTGATCCCGTCAGCTAAAGATTTTTGCGATTTCGCTACAATTTAAATCCATTTGACCCTTAGCAGTAAATAAATCTAAAGTGTTATCAATCACAATTAGTATACTCTAGCCAAGCCCTAAGGTAGTAGATCTACCGCTCCCTAAATGGTAACCGCATCTGTTTAAAAACTAGAGGTTGATGGTCTATTTGAGTTGGGAGTTTATGCAGTTCCTGTCTCCAACCTTTTCATTCAACTTTGGACCATCTAAAGTCTTACCGTTTTATCTAACATTGCTGTTATACTAAAATCATTTGTTGAAAAAGTGTAGCCTTTAAAATTATATAAGCCTAAAATTATTAAGCTCTGTACGGTTTGTGCACCCCAATCAGGTTTGTAGTATTTATTTTCAAGATTCATGATTTCAAATTATACTCTTTTGGAATGATAGTTTATTACGTTTATCCTTAGATAAAGGATTAGGTTAGGTTAAAAGGTCGATCAAATGGATGTCACTTAAACAGCTGAAGACGTCGGTCCATTGTGATACATTAATACTCTTAAGTATTGATCGAAAAGATTCTCAAAAATCAACAAAACGCTATGAGCTTGTCATAAATTTCAATTCACCAGGTTTGCCGAACCTCAGTCTTACAACATACAGTCAATGGAGAAGAAAATGCCTGGGGGTTTCCACCTCTTTTCCTCCATACAGCTTTTATAATGCGTCCGACCTGATTATATCCTTACCGCACGAACGCCTCTTGGACAATGTCCAGTAAGAACTCCTACGATTATGGTAAGATGAACCTTACTGAAGGGAACTCATCGTCCTTTTTAGAGTAAATGTTGACTTGCACTCTAGTTAATGTTACTGACTGTCAAATTTATTGCTCTCAATACATTTGAAAAGCTTTTGCATAACCTGAGTTCACTGAGCAAACCGAAAACTAAAAACTTTGTATATATTCAAGAATAGATAATAACCGTCCGTGGAATATTCATACACCGCTTGCAAGAGATCTTTTCAGGAGCTCAAGATGCACCTAGATCATTTGTAATACAGTTATCCCAGATATAAGTAAAATATTTGCTATCGAACGTTCTAGGGTGCCCGAGAACACCTTGCTAATTATCGAATAACTCGAAAAGTCGGATTTGTCGGATTTTTTTCAAACTTTCAGAGATATATTCTAAGATATTATACTTTAAGAAAATGATTTTTTCGATCTTTTAAACATTCTGACTACCTCCAACCGCTTATAGCAGACCAAAAATTTATAATTCTAGAAATTGAGGAAACCAACGAGGGCTCATTCAAATTAGAAATTCAGTAAGAAAAAAATTAATTGTGTATTCATTATTTAGTGCTAAAAGTCAATTTGAGCATAGCATATAAGTAAACTTTTTCCAATAATGGAAAAATTATATATTTTTTATCTTTCATTACTTTGTTTCATTTTTCCTTTTGCCTATTAAGCATTAGAAAGAAATAAACAAAGAAATCGATAATACGAGTTGAGTACGCTCGCAGGTCATTGACACACACACCTTTGCAAACACATACGAGTATAGAAGCACATACCTGAATATGGTAAAGTATATATCTACCATATATACATATAAATATAAGTATATAAGTGAACCCAGTGCATTATAAGAAACAACTCTCAACTCCAAACTCCACTCGAACGATCCAAAGAAGCGAAAGAACTTTAATATTCTTCATTTATTTAGAAAGCAATTTGGCGAATTCTCTGTAGTTGAACTGACAGTTATAAAGGTACACGAGTACATACATACTTATATAATGTGTCTATTTTAGTGAAACTGTAATTGGATACAACAAAGTCCTTTCAAATTGTTAACAGCTGAATATATGTACGTAAAAGAAAAACAACAAAAACAATAGAAAAGCAAATTAAAAATGGACGAATAAAGAATAACAAAAAAAAAATAAATTATGAAGCATAAAAAATGCGCAGTTTAAGACAAAAATAATGAAAACGAATACATTTACATTGTTAAATAAGAAACAAAAAATAAATATGGCAAGACTGGAAAAATTTGGTAATAAGTGAAATCGTATTGTTTTTGAACAGCGAAAGTGTTGAAGCGTTGGTGCTAGCATTAGTTCTAGTCTGCATTCACATACATACATACATACATATGTATAAGTCAATTAACGCATTTGTATGTACATATATATTTTTGCAAAATTAAAAAAATAAAAACGAAATATTAAAATAAATCAGCTTAAAGTGCTCTATGTGAAAGGTTCGAAATATAAAATTAGAAAAAAAAACGCAACGCACAGCATTCACATTGATATATAGTATAGTAGTGTAATATTTTAACTAATTGGTGTTTATTAGAAGATTATAAGAGCAAAGGCCAAACATGAAATAAATTAAGTTGTGGAACGAGGCAGCAACAAGGGCAAGGAGACAAGAACTAGCAGGGATAAACTCGATTCAAAAAAATAAAAATATCGTTGTACCCAAGCTTTAATACCCTTCACAAATATATACAAAATAATCCATTCATGAACATGCTTTTGTTCAGTCATTTTGTATGACAGCTATATGCTATAGTGGTCGAATCTGAACAAACTTTTTGGAGAATGTACCGTAGCTTTTAACAATAACCTATGCCAAATTTCGTGAATATATCTTTTCAAAAAAAAAAGTTTTCCATAAAAGAACTTGAGTTTGATCGGTCATTTTGTATGGCATCTATATGCTATAGTGAGCCGATCTGAACAATTTCTTCGGAGATTGTAACGGTGCTTGGGACAATAAAGCCACACCGAATTTCGTAAGGATTAGTCGGTTAGTTTGTATTTCTTCGAAAATATTATTGCAGTTTTGGGCAATGATTTATGCGAAATTTCGTAAAGGCATTTTTTCAAATAAAAAAGTTTTCCATACAAGAACTTGTTTTTGACTGGTCAGTTTGTATGGCAGCTATATACTAAAGTAGTCCGCTATCGGCGGTCGATATCTCAAAAACTGATTGACTAGATTTGGTTTGGAATTGAGGGTCTGTTTCAGTTACGTAGACCCGACTATCGTGTGTAAAGACCCATCAATAATTTAGGTTATAGCTAGAAAGGTTAAAACTTCTTCTTCTTCTTCTCATCACAAAAACAAGTTTCTCACTGCTAGTTCTTGTTACCGTGTAATTTTAGAGTAAAATTTTACATGCACAAATTGGTGAAAGAAAATTACAACAAAAACCGTTACGGTTCGAAAATGCTTTACATGTTTTATTGTAAAAAATATTTACTACGTAAGAAAATTTTAGCATAAAAAATTAAAATTAAATATATGTAATAGCGTTATTAAAAAATTAGCAAGAGTTTGAGAAATCGTGTGAAAAAATTATTTTCGAAATTGCAAAAATTGTTGCTTCAACATTGCATTGTAAAGTAATTATCTGCTGCTACATTTTAGTCATAATTTATTATTATTTACTAATTTTATATAAAAAATACAAATTCAGTTTTTACCCTATAGAACAGATTACTCAGTACAACAAAAATTATTGTATTTACAAATAATGTATGAAAACAAAAAAATATTTTTAATATGCAAACCCTTGCTGATTAAACCAAATCCCTACATATAGACATACTCGTACGAACATTGTATATGTGAATGTTGAATGTTCCAGTAAACACACCCACATTTACACAAATGGAAATTAAATACAAAAAACACAAAAACAAAAATGAAATACTCGTCATAGCCAAATAAATGGGAATTTATTGATTTCAAAACCTTAACAACCGCTAATATTTTAATATGGTGCATTGGGTACAGTCAGTCCATACTCCACATACAACTTTTTTCTTCATTTATTATATTTTTATAAAGCTGAAGGAATTTAATTTAATGGTAAGTCTTTATTCCAAACTCTATAATATTGTTATAGACACTTATAAACTGAGTGCAAAATCTAAACATCTAGCCGCGCAACACTTGGCGGATAGTATTATATAAAGAAACCATATTACAAGTAGTAATATACGACCAATCGCACAATTCCTCTCGACTCTATACTCTGTATTTTATTTAATCTGGCAGGCAGAATACCATAGCTATACAGGTTAACCCATGTAACCCGGGTTTCATCGAGCAAAAAACGTTCTATTTTCAAGAATTTTTTTTCATATAAAAGATTAAATATTTTATTCAAACTTTTCATTATTCCTAATATACATATTTGATAAAGATTTTGTGAAATTTTCAAAGGAAAATATTCAAAACTCGGTGTGTTTAAACTAAGACCGATAACTAGAAGAAAGAACAAATAAAGTGAAGTTCTAGAGACAATAAAAAATAAATTTTGCTTTTTGAAGTCGTGAAACCCATGTAACCCTTAAGCAGCTAAATTCTGACCATCTATCCATTAGCTGAAAATTCCTTTATTCCTCTAATCAACTTTGTAATTCAAATAGAATCTGCATCTGCTCTACATATTACAAAATAAAAAAAATATTCCAGTGAGTTTATTCCAAAGAAACGGTAAAAAAAGTGAAAATCGAAAAATATTGCCTTAAAGTCCAAATTCAAGAAATATGTAAATATTTGTATTCTAAACATTTGGTATTCAAGCAGCAATAAAGTGCATATAATTTAATAGTATGGCCAAGAATTTAACTTTATTATAAAGATAAGGGTTTGCTCGATATGTTTTATTAGTGGTTTCGGGCAAGTGACCGCCGAAGCTGGCTCGATGCAATTTCAGCCCAATTTTCGACCACTTTTTGCAGCAATTGAATCCGTATGTCAGCAATAACGCATCGAATATTCTATTCCAACGCGTCAATCGTCTCGGGCTTATCTGCGTAGACAAGCGACTTCATATAACCCCACAAAATATCAACGGTGTGAAATCTCACGACCTTAGAGGTCGCGCTGCTGACCCACGACGCGAGATAATGCGCTCACCTAAAGTTTCTTTCAATAAATTGATTGTTTCGTTGGCTGTGTAGCATGTGGCGCCATTTTGTAGGAACCTAAGGTCGTTCACATCAATATCATCCAATTCACGGATGTAAAAGTCATTAATCATGGCTCTATAGCGTTCACCATTTACTTTAACATTATGGCCGGCTTTATTTTTGAATAAATATGAACCAATGATTCCCTCTCCCCATAGAGCACACCAAACAGTGACTTTATGACGATGTTATGGCGTCTCAACAATGGCTTGTGGATTATCTCTCTCTAATTATTATCTTCTCTCTAAATACGACAATATTGTTTATTAAGGTACCCATGCAATTAAAACTGAGCTTTATTGCTGAACAAAATTTTCTTGTAAAAATCGGGATAGATCGGCATCTCGTTTTGGGCCCATTCCCCGAAAGTTGCGCTTGATGGCTCCACGAGTTTGATTTTGTAAACCAAATTCCTTACACAAAATCTTTCATAAAGTGGATAGGAACAGTTCTAATTTCTGCGCGCGATAGCGGATGGACCCATTTGGGGCTTCTTCGATACTCTGTCCCACAGCAGCAATAGTGTCTTCGGTGCGCACTGTACGGCATCTCTAAGAATGCGCATTATTCACTAGAGTAAACGTGATGCGAAACCGATCCATGATTGCCCGAATTACCGACTTTGCTGGGCGATTATATCGACCGGATATTTGACACAGCGCGCGATGCGAACCATATCACGATTTGCGAACGTTGCTCCGAAGTGTGTCTGTTTATTATAAAATGGCAAACGAAACTGAGTCTTAATCAAGTAACAGCTGGCTAAAGACGAACTCCGAAAAAGTTCAGTCAAAAAAGTAACAACAAAGTTAGTCAAATTCAACTTAAGAATGTATGTAAACACCTCTCGAAAGTGGTAAAACCGCATGACATTCTAGCTCTATTTGTCAGAAATACCCCCTTACTGAATACTTTACAACCAAGATCATACGCTATTTGAAAATACCTAAAATACTAATTTTTTGTAGATGTATGTGTATGAATAAAAACAGATGAAGTCTTATATTTGTGCCAGTCTAGATAATGTTACGATGTCTATGAGACTTATTAAATAAATCATCGTGGAAAACATCTGATAAAGCATACTATACTAATTTGTTCAATCTGTTTTGCCACATTTTTCGCCAGTAACTCCAGAATCTTCGGAAGTTTCAAAAAATTTCTATGACTATGATCAAGAAAATGAAAAAGTTATAATTTACGTAATAGTAATTAACAAACTGAACGAAATTTATAATTTTACCAGATTTATTTTCGCCCCAAAAAACTGGCGGTAGGATTGCCAACCACAATGATTTGCATGTAACATTCCGAAAGCAAACGAGTAACTTGTCACTAAGGACACACCCTATCGTTGTAACATGCCAACTTGTTATTCTAAATTTGTTAACTGGTTACCAACATCTACACTCATTCAACACCCCCCAACTTGTGTGTTTACCCTCGTCAATGGCACGGTGTCATACGTTAATAGAATTATTTTTGCCGGCAACAAAGTTCAGCGTTGCGCGAATTAATGTAAGGCTCCTAACTACAGACACTTACATAGTTATATATGTGTATTAGATATTAGCATACAATTTCAGATAAACAGATATATATATATAGTAATATTACTTGTATATACTTAATCTCTCTCTATCCTTTTCTCTCCGCTCGAAATTACAGTAGATCGGTAATGCTGTTATTCAATTGAAATTTTAATCCCAATTAGTTGAAGGATTGACGATTTTGGCTTTGAAATCTCAGCGAGAGTTAGCTCCGTTATGCTTATAGCCAGATTATTTTAGCCCTCACCGTTATTGGGAGTACTGGTTTAAGTATGTCATTATGATATCTGTATGGAAAAAGAGTTTCGAAAATCGTTTTATAAATCTCCATCATAAATCGATAAAGAAGGAATTTTCGTTGATAAGACTGCAATTGTCACATTTTACTGGTTCAACCTTTCCTTACAAGGTGTGTTCCAAAGTAAACAGGACTTTAAATAAAAAGACCGAACAAATGGTTTTATCGGCAAAATCAATTAATTTTATTCAAAATAGGCTCCTTCTGCTTTAATACAGCTTTTTGCACGGTCCAAAAGCATGTCGAACGAGTGTTTTAGCTCGTTGCCCGTATGGCCGCCAGTATGCCGGTGCAAGCCTTTTGAATGGCCTCCACGTCTGCACAACGCTTTCCTTTCATCGGCAAATGCATTTTTCTGAAAAGGTAGAAGTCGTACGGTGCCATATCAGGTGAATACGAGGGGTGGTTGATTGTTAAAATGTGATTTTTGGTCAAAAAATCGTCCACAAACGTCGATCGATAAAACGGCGCATTATTGTGCAACAAGCGCCAACTTCCATCTTCGCGATATTCGGGCCGAACACGTCGAATACGGCGCACCAAACGCTTCAAAACTCCAAGGTAGAATACCGCATTAACGTTTTGGCCGAGTGGAACAAATTCATTGTGGACAATAACCTTGGAATCATAAAAACAAATCAGTATTGTCTTCACTTTTGACTTCTCCAGGCGCGATTTTTTGGGTTTCGGCCCATTTCTCATTTATGTCCTCACGACCACTTTGAAAACGTTGAAACCACTCGTGCACTCTGCTACGGGATAGGCAATCATCGCAATAAACTTGTTTCATCAATTGAAACGTTTCGGTAAAAGTTTTACCAATTTTAAAACAAAATTTAATGTTGGCTCTTTGTTCGAAGCTCATTTTCGCACCGATGACAAAAACATACTGAAACTTAAAACGCAATAACTTCACTTCTAATAGATGAAATTGATGTCATGAAATTTTTACTGGAAGTCGATAAAGGATAGCAGATTCTAACGCACTAGTCAACATATAGATGGCGCCACTAGAGATACGTTTTTGCTTTGGAACGTCCCTTGTATTTTGGTGTGAAGTTTGATCTCCATATGTTAATTATTGTGTGTTTGACAGCTACTTTACGACACGAAAAGTTTGTCTGGCGATTTTTACCATTGGAAAAGAAATTGAACAATGAGTTTGCTTGAAATTTTGTGTTTCCAATGAAACCGCGACTACGCAATCATTGAATATATTGCTGAGGTGTTTTGCGAAGTCTATTTTATTATGAACAAAAGTATTTGAGTGCCACAAAGCGTTCAGTGAAGTCATGAAGTAATCGAAAACTTGCCTAATGCGAGACGTCCATTCACCTCTGTTATTGACGAGAACATCGACAAAGTTAAAGAAACAGTGCTTGAAAATCGAAGTGTTGGCATCAGAGAAATAGCAAACATCACTTATATATCAATTCAAACATTTGGTTATTGTTTTGGGTACGAAGCGTGTTAATGGTAGATGCGTACCAAATGTACGCTAAAGAGATGCTTGATAACTTAGCTAAGGACCCTACATTCATCAAATCGGTTATTACTGGTGACGAGACGTGGTTTAATGAAAATGACATCAAATCTGTCCAACAATCTGGCGAATGACGCTTATAATATCAACCGAAACCGAGAAAACCAAAATTCGCTGAAGGCACTAAAGGCCACCGAAGCTATAAAAGTTTATATTGGCTCAGGAGCCTACTTTGAGGACGCATTTTTTGTTATTAGATAGTATTTTCACATATTTCCTCAAAGTATAAACTTTTAATAAAAGTTTAAGGATATTAATATTTCATAGCTATTTTTACTATTGTATTTCCTGCTGGAAAATTTGCATATTTCCACTGTTATTAGTATACGATGACTAGTCCCTTAGCTTCTGAGCTTCTTATCGAGGTTATTACACAATTCCATAAAGT